AGGTGCAGCAGGTGGGGCAGGCGCAGCGGCCCAGGTGCAGCAGGTGAGGGCAGGCGCAGCGGCCCAGGTGGGGCAGGCGCAGTGGCCCAGGTGCAGCAGGTGAGGGCAGGCGCAGCGGCCCAGGTGCAGCAGGTGAGGGCGAGCCGGGCAGAGGGGGCAGCAGGTGCTGGGACTCACTGCACCTGGAGCTTGTGCTGGGAGCAAGTGCCCTTGGGTCCCAGGGTGAGCCACAAGGGGAGCCAGTGGCCAGGAGGGCGTGGAGGCTGGGGGGACACTGGCACCCCAGGCAGCTCCGCTGTATGCTGGACAGGCGCCTCCTCCCTTCTAAAGGGTCTCTGACCTGGGAGTGGTCGAGCAGCCCTGCCCTCAGGACTGCCAGTGCTGGTGTCCCAGAGCGCTCAGTCCCCTTCCTCCACTGTCCTCCCCCCTGCCTCTCCCTGCCGCAGCGCCCCGGCTGCTCTACCCACTAGGCCGAGGGGGCAGGGCAGGAAAGGGGGCTTTCGAGACAACCGTGTCTTTCCTCACTTCTACAGAGGACGCACGAAGCCCCCTGGGTGACCTGCAGACCACCCCAGAAAGAGAAGAGGCCCAGGCAGCCCCTGCAGGCCCCGGTCCCTGAGGAGAACAGCTGCCTCACCCGCGGGTCGTCCTCGCTGGCCAGCAGCTCCCTGCAGGACACCTGGAGGTTGCTAGACCTGGGCTCCAGCCCTTCAGGCCTCCCCTCGCAGGACGACTCAGCTCCAGGTAGGAGAGTGGCCTGCCCCGGCTGACGTGTGCCCGCCACTCCCTGAGGCGGACGCCAAGCGGCGCTGCCTTGAGGACCTTGGCCTCCTGGCTCCGGTTCAGGTGCTCCATAAACCCACAGCCCCTCGCCCTGCCTGCAGCCCGTGCCCCGTCCCCCGCAGAGCAGGACCCTGTGGGACAGGAGCCCCTGCCAGCACAGCGCCCCTCGGGTGTGCCACCCGGGACGGACGAGTGTGCACAGGCTGCTCTCTGGAGGAGACCTGCTCCGTCTGGTGCCAGGGGACGTCCCAGGCCCCTCCCGCGCCCTACTCCTGGCGCCCACCCACTACAGCTCTGGGCAGGGAGGAGTCTCCAGGAAAACCCATGGGAAGGGCCTGCTCTTGGGAGTGCAGGCGGCAGCTCCTGCAGGGGGTGGAAGGAGGAAAGGCCTGTGGGGGCCGCAGGGTGGGGTGTGGCCGGCGTGAGAGCCCCTGCCCAGACGGACACACCTCCTCTGGCTCACAGCTGAGCACATCACCCACCTGCCATCCCAGCCACCTGGGGGGCGGGGCAGGAGGCCGGCCGTTCCAGCAAAGCCCCGTTTCAGAATGACAGATAAAAAGGCAGAAGGCCTCTGGTCCCACCCCAGTGGGAAACAGAACCCGAAGGCAAGGCTAGGGCTGTGCCGCAGCCTGCGCCCTCGCCCGCCCGCCCGCTCAGCCCTGGCACACAAGCCAAAGGCACTGCATCTGGCAGGTGTCGGCGTCCAGGACAGCTTCCTGCACACTGTCACCAGTCTTCCCAGCATCCGTCTTTGCTGGACTGTTGAAATTCCTTGGAAATTAGGCTATTTCTGAGACAAAAGTCATAAATACCTACAGCCAGTTTTTCATGTGATTGGCTTTTTTTTTTTTTTTTTGGTCCTGGGGATTGAACCTAGCAGTGCTCCACCACTGAGCCACATCCCCAGCCCTTTTTATTTTTTTAGTGTGGGAGTCTTGCTAAGTTGCCCAGGCAGGCCTTAAACTTGGGATCCTCCTGCCTCAGCCTCCTGAGCCCCTGGGATTCCAGGAGTGGCACCATGCCCAGCTTTTCACTTTTCTTACGGTGCTTTTTTTTGGTATATTTTAGTTGCAGATGGACACAATATCTGTATTTATTTTTATGGTGCTGAGGGTGGAACCCGGTGCTTTCCACCACCACGGAGCCGGGCCCCAGCCCTTTCTGTGGTGCTTTTGTTATGCACCTATCTCTCACTTTTATGTAGCCAATGTCCTTGGATATGATCCTTTCTAGCTTTGGGGGGCCCACGTAGGCCACTCCCACCTTATTGTCCGTATCTTCTAGGGCAGCTCTGGTTCCACTGCTTTAGTGTGCGTCCACGCCCGCCCGCACACTTGCCGGGCTGTGTTGCCAGGTGGTGCTGCACCAGGCTGCTCCTGCGTGGAGAGCTCCTCCCGGGCCCTCTGCGGTCTGCCGTCCGCCCACCTGTGTGCAGTGGTGTCAGGGCCAGTCGGGTCTTCCCTGGTGTTTCTTCCTCAGCATCCTGCTGGTTGCTCCCATTCCTTCTCTGTGCAGCCTTGAGGCCCAGCCCACGAGGTTCCCGTGCCCCCCACTCTATTCTCGTTTTCTGAGGATTCATTATATTTGGGCTCTTTAGCTTAAAGGTCTCTGGCTCTACGTGCGTCCCGGGATGGGACCACGCTGTGTTCAGTGAGATGGAGTGTCGGCAGGCTGGGCAGGCTGGGTTCCGCAGGCGGGGGCCAGGAAGGCTGCTGTCTCCACGAGGTGGGCCTGCTGGGCCACGGGGCACTGCTGGGCAGGTCAGGAGGGCCAGCCCGTGAGTTGGCAGGTTCCGGGGAGGTGGGGTCAGCGGCTGCGCTCCAGGCTGGAGGCGCCCCGTGGCCTGGTCTGCTGGCCCAGTGGCCTCAGCAGAGTGGCAGCCCTCCTGGTGCTCCCGGGGGGCGGCGTCTCTTCCTGCTGTACCGTGCTGTCCCTGTCCCAGCTCCACCGCCGCCGAGTCCTGCTCCAGGCCCCTCTCCTCTCCCAGCACTGACCGCGCTGCTCTGCAGGTCCCAGCTCTGCACAGAGGGCTTCCTGGGGTTCTTGGTGAAGGTCTGCTGGGTTTGCTGCTTCCTGTGGAGGCAGGGGCTCCCCGTGCTGCCCACAGCCTCCAGCTCCTGGGCTCAAGCATCCTTCCCCTCGGCCTCCCGAGCAGCTGACACTACCGGCCGAGCCACTGAACCAGCTCCTCCTTTTTTCTTTCCTCCTCCTGCTCCTCCTCCTCCTTTCTTGTTCGTTTATTTATTTATTTATTTAGGTGTGTGTGTGTGTGTGTGACTGGGGGCCTGGGCCCCTCTGCTCCACCACAGCTACAACCCAGCCCTTTAATTGATTCATTGTTGTTGTCTGGGGGGCCCAGGCTGGCCTAGTCTTGGGCTCCTCCTGCCTTGGCCTCCAGAGTCGAGGGGTGACCGGCGTGGCCACTGTGCTGGCCCTGCTCTTAGCTTTAGTGAAGGGCACTTTCTGTTTGCTGTGATCTTGCTGGGAGTGACCTAGAGGAGGAGCAGGAGGAACGCTAGCTTTGCACTGGCTTCTTTAAATCAACAATGTGTTCTGACAGATGGGGCCAAAGAGGCCCTGGCTGCGGGGCCATGTGGCCCCTGCCCCACACAGCTCACTCCCTGTGGCCCTGACTTTCAATTCATGTTTGCTTTTCAAATTAAATGGAATTTCCCCTGGTGCTGAGGACTGAACCCGGGGTGCTGTACCACTGAGCTGCACCCAGGGCTTTTTATTTTTATTCTGAAACAGGGCCTCACTAAGTGGCCCAGGCTGGCCTCCAACTTGTGGTCCTCCTGCCTCAGCCCCTAGGTCTCTGGGATAACAGGTGTCAATAAATAGAGAGAGCAAACATGATCGACCTCCTTGTTACTTATCCATTTTTACTTTCTAAATCTCCCATAATGACTTCTTGGGTAGGTTTTTCTTCCAGGAACAGAGGTTGTTCTATTTGGGAAACCTTTTGAGGCCTGTGGCTTGACATCTGAGTGCACTTAGGTAGAGGTACCCGCTGGCCCTGTTGGCCTAAGTCCTGAGCCTGGCGGCCACTGGACCAGCTCACCGGGAGGGGATGCCAGGAGCCAGAAGGCAGCCTGGCCCCGGCCAGGGGCTCACGTGAAGAGAGGGCTGAAGCTGGCTGCCACCCACCACCTGGGTCAAACCAGTGAAGTGGAAATCTGGTGTCACTGCCTCCCAGAGTCCAGGAAGCAGGTGAGGGAAGCCAGGCCCTGCAGGGTGGGTGCTGAAGGGTGAGTGCCCCCCCGAGAAGCTGGAGCTCGGAGAACCGCCAGCCCTCAGGGCCAGCCTCCCTCCCGTCCACTCGAGCAGCTGTGTCTGCAACATGGCCACCCAGGTCAGTCCTTGCACAGCCCACACCACCGGGGCCCTAGAGGTCAGAGCGACTCTGAACTAGGCAGCAGCTAACGCCAGCCATTCCCACGCAGAGCCCAGGAGTGCTCCGCGGGGTGGGGCAGCAACACTGTGACCGGCACAGCCCAGCGGCCTGGGAGGACCAGGCAGGAGGAGCCACGAGGAAAGCCCAGGCAGGCCGAGGGGCAGCTCAGGTGGGCGGTGCTCAGCGTGCCCAGGCTCGGGTTCAACCTCCAGGGCCACAGCAGAGGAAGGGAGGGCACTGGCCCAGGGCGTCCTAGAAATGTCATTCACCAGAAGCCTCCTTAATCCGGGAGGCCTGCAAGGCCCAAGCCCAAGAGAGCTCCTGAGAAGAAACCCAGAAGTGACATGGAGTGTGAGGGACATCGTGATCGGGGTACCCGGACGAAGACACGGATCGGGGTGAGTGTGCTTCATGTACAACCAGAGACATGGAAAGCGGGCTCTCCAGGTGTGACTGGAACCCTGACACATTCTGCTGTCCTCTATTTAAAAATCCATAAATTAAAAAAAAAGAAGAAGAAGAAGGAGAAGAAACCCAGGCTGGGCGTGGGGGCCACACCTGTGATCCCAGCTCCTCGGGAGGGAGGCAAAGGCAGGAAGAGCCCAAGTTCAAGGCCAGCCCAGGCAACTGAGCCAGACTCTGCCTCAACAGGAAGTACATAAAAAGGGCTGGGATATAGCTCAGGGGAAGATCACCTGCCTGCCTGCATGAGGTCATGGGTTCAGTCCCCAACACCAAAAAGTATAACCCACGGGTGAAAAAGGTGTGACAGAGCTCATGCCACCAAGGGTAATACAGTGGTTCCCAGAGCTGTACAAGAAGCTGGGCGCGGTGGCACATGCCTGTGATCCCAGCAGCTCAGGAGGCTGAGGCAGGAGGATCGTGAGTTCAAAGCCAGCCTCAGTAATGGCGAAGGTCTAAGCAACTCTGTGAGACCTCTAAATAAAACACAAAATAGGGCTGGGGATGTGGCTCAGGGGTCAAGTGCCCCTGAGTTCAACCCCTGGTATCCCCGCCGCCACCCAAACAAAGAAAAGAGCTGTTCGAGAGAGTCGATGTCACGGTGAGGCTGGACTGGTCACTGGCTTCTCGTCAGTGCAGAGAAGGAGGGCAGCGCAGTGAGACGTCCACTGACGGGCTTCCAGAGGGGCAGGCTGCAGCCCTGGGCCACCTGTCATCCCTCACTGAGAGGCCTCTCAGAGCAGAGGCCAGCACACTTCTGTGGAGGCCAAAGAGAGAGGCCTTGGACTTGGCAGCCACCTAGCCTCCCTGGCCACTGGGCACAGCAGCCGCTCAGGCGGGGTAAATACATAGGCGCGCGGTGCCAGCCAGCCCTGGCTCACACCCAGGCATGGTGGTGCACACCTGTGACCCCAGGGACTCGGGAAGCCGAGGCAGGAGGAGCACAAGTTAGAGGCTGGCTTGAGCAACTTGAGACCCTGTCTCCAAAAAGGACGGGGGTGTAACTGAGGTTCAACCCCCTCCCCCAACAGCGAACCCCGAGTGTGTTGCCTACGCTCGATGTAGTGCGGGGGCTTCCCGATGAAGCCCTCAGAGCCAGGAA